AACATATTCGTTTACTAGTTAGGTAAAGATAACTAGGACTCCTAAAAGCACAAAGCAAGCAACATTCGAGCATTGAGTAACCATAATCAAGCATATCCTACTCAGGCCATCATATTACTGACTAATCAGTACTAGCATACAGTTCAATAAGCTCATACAATAGGCATATAAGGCATCATTTCTAGATCCTTAGCCCTAAACTAGCATGCAGTTCTCATACACATATAACAGGCATACAAGGCATCATTCCTAGATCCTTAGCCCTAATCTAGCATGCAGTTCTTATAATCATAACATAACAAACTTGTATGGGCAATTTTGGAGAACTTACTTGAGCTCAGATGATTGCATGCACCACACCCTTTTTTCTCTTTTCTAGAATCCTTTTTACAAAAATGGTTTTCTTTTGAAAATTTTATACCAAGTCCTCAGTTTGAGTCCAAACATACCCGAGAGCACGCCTGAATCCCACAAACCAAGGCTCTGATACCAACTTGTAACATCCCAAAAATCATGACCAAAAAATTCGTTTTTATTTATTAAATAAACATATTTATCAAAATCATTCCATCCAAAAACATAAGTCAAAGTATCAAATCAGATTATCTCATCAAAACTCATATAAACATATCAGAGTAAAAACATCCCAGGCTAAAATCATGGTGTGTGCACTGCAGTCATCCCGAGCTATTCCCTTTGCTACCGGAAGTACCTGAAACCAAAACTGAAAATTATAAGCACGAAGCTTAGTGAGTCTCCCCAAACTAGCACATATGATACACATAATCATGCTACTAGGAGATACGGGCGCCGCCCACACTCAAGGAGATACGGGCCCCGCCCACACTCGGCTAACTAGGAGATACGGGCCCCGCCCACACTCCACTGTCCACGAGATACGGGCCCTGCCCACACTCAGCTAACTAGGAGATATAGGCCCCGCCCACACTTTGCTGAATACGAGATACGGGCCCCGCCCACACTCGTCTAACTATGAAATACGGGTCCCACCCACACTCAACTACTAAGCATACATACAAGTATCACATAGACAACAAGTATAATCAAATCTATCAATCAGTCCTATATCCATACCCAAATAATGCTATGAGATACGGGCCTCATCCACACTCAACTATCTATGAGATACGGGACCCGCCCACACTCGGCTAACTAGGATATCCGACATAAAACCTTGGGAGTTGATAATAATCACCTGCCTTGATGTGTTTTATTTATTTTAATCTGAGGTTACAAAGATTATGAAAGTAATATGAGTACAAGAGTAATGTTAGGGATAATAGTGTATGTTTTGTGCTAGATACATGTGTTATTTATAGTCTAGTGTAAGTAACAAGAAGTCCGATAATACTGGGATCCTCCAGAATCAGCACATGAACGTTATTTGACTTGGTATTCCGGGTCTTTTTCCTGGTTGAGATGAATCTCCGTTGAGAATGAGTCTTGTTTTGATTAGTTCTGCACATGTGAGAAAAATAAAGAAAACATAGTTGTACAAGTGTTAGAAATATTAGTGGTAATAGTCAGGATCTTTTGATATGTTTAAGGAAACTTAGATATCTTTGAGATCCGAGATCCTGGATAGGATTGACGATCTTTACCCTAACAAGAATTAATTTAGACTTAATCAGAATTAATTGAAAATTAATTTTGGATTAACTGAAATTAATTAGAGGTACAAGTGTTGAATTACAATTGCTTAATAGTTGAGCAAAGGGGCAGTTCTAGATCCTTCCTATCCCTAGACGGTTTTGCTAGGGTTTAGGAGAGGTTCTGGAAGCATCCAAGTGCAGATAAGGAAACTGATTTAAATTGGATTAAAATATATTATTTTAATATTCAAATTAGGGTTCATCATAGATAATTGGTAGCTATAAATAGGCCCCTTAGGGTATGATTTTTGGCAACTTGTTCCCTTGTGAAGCTAGAGCCGAAAATCCTTCTCCCTCCTCTCTCCTTGAATATTTTCTAGGGGTTCCTAGGGTTTGGGTGTGACCATTAAAGACAACCATAATTTTGGTGCTAGCTTTCTGAAGTGCAACTAAGGATCAAAGAGTGATACATACGACTGTAACACTTAAGGTATGTAATTGTACTTGTGAATTTCGATCTCACCCGGGGTTCATGATAGTTTCACTAGTATATTGTTATAATGTGTAAAGATATAAATCCATATGTTGCATGTGTCCACAATTAGATTTTATAATAATTCCAATGTACAAATATGTTTAATGTAACCTATAAAACCCATCACTTCTGTCATTCGAAAAAAAATCAAGATCAAGTCTCTTTTAGCCTCTTTATTATCGTTACTTACCAAGGATATGTAGTATTGAGTTTTTTTTTTTTTCTGATGCATTTTAAGATCGACTATTTAAAACACTTTTCTTTTTATGAAGATTTTGGCAATTGAGGATATAAAAAGGAGACTAAATTATATAAATAATGGTTCATACGGTTTACAAAAAGTTATAAGTTACTCCATAATTATTATTTTCATATGTATTGTTCATATGGTTACAATTTTTTGTGTGGTTGGTCTTTGACTCATGTAAAATGAAAATTTCAACCTTTTTAATATCTTTTATCTTTTTACCATTTAAATTATATTGATCTACCTTATTCGTCGGAAAATCATAATGTGTAATTACAAATAGCCGTTGCGGAAGTGATTTCTGGATTGAACCTCGATTTCAGGGGTGTGGAAACCAAGAACAAGTGCCGATGATCGGGGTCGATGGATATTACGTTGGTTTGTTTTATGGGGTGTGGAAACAATGAAAGTTGATTGTCATTGTAGGTTAAATAAAATAAATTGCATATTAGTTATGATAAAAATAATAAAACTAGCTACCATTTAACATATTTTTTTCGATCAATTATAGGCTTGTTTCACCATACAATGGTATGTTTCATGTTGCGCTATCATCTCCAAATATATATCACTGTCTAGGGTGATTCCTAATAGATCCCTAAAAATATTTTATGAGAAGTTTGGAAGAATGACATTACAAAGTAGCTTCTAATAAGGCTATGTGTCATAGGGCTAGGGGTGAGCATGGGTCGAGTTGGATCGGGTTTGGCCTAAACCTGAACCCAAAACCGACTTATCGGTTTTTAGAAATTAGAACCCATCCCAACCCAAAACTGATGGGTTCGGTTTTTCGGTTCCTCGGTTTTCAATGGGTCGGTTTCGAGTTTAAACCCCAACCTATTTGAAATTTTAACTTGTGAGATATGATAAGCATGTCTCATACATAAGAGATGAAGAAGAGCTATGTTTCATTTTCTCGAGAAAGATTCGAACTTGGGGCATCCAAATTAAGTATTCAGAGCGTTACCACTTGGAGAGCTCGGTGGTACTTGTATATTTTGTTCACAATATCATAATATAATGCATATAAAATTAGTATAATGCTATACAAAAGCATTTATATAGCAGTAAAATGAAAAAAATGAAATGTCAAAAAAAAGTTTCAAACTCACAACCTTCATAACAACACTCGCCTAAACCAACCGTTTCTTTTGTTATCATTTCACTAAACATATTTATATTATATATATATATATATAATATTTTTTAAACGTTATATATAATCGGTTCGGTTCGGTTTTTTTTTTTGGTTTTACCAAACCCAAACCAAAATTTTATGTTTTTGAAAAATCTAAACCCAAACCATAGGTTTATGCTTCAGTTTCCGTTTTTCGGTTTTGGTTTTGTCGGTTTTTTAGGATTTTTCGGTTTTCGTGTTCGGTTTTGCTCACCCCTACATAGGAGCGCCGGAGTCAATGACGCTTAACGTGGAGCATTAACGTCTGACAAGAACACCCTTTGGGTAGGGTAGTGCCTGCAATTCACACCTCTTGTAGTGGTTCTAGCCACACCACACTCTCTCTATCTTTCTCTTTACTGTTATATTAATGAGTTTTTATTAATTTCATATAATATTTTTTTTGCCAAAAATATAAAATGGTTGATGATGTGTTTGGGAACACTTTTGAAATAGTATTTGTGTTGCAATGGTATGAGAAGTTTGAAATACTAATAACATTGCAGGTTGTCAAGTGACAATTAATTGTTGGATGTGACATTGCAACCTATGTATTATCCACTCCTAAATTTACATATAACTTGAAATCTACCATAATAAATAAGAATGATTTTGTTACATATCATATTCGCTTTCATTTTAACACTTGTCATTTTCTAAATTTTTTTTGAATTATTTAATATCCACTTGTCATTTTTATAGTTTTTTTTATTCAAATTTCACCTATTAAATGTCACCTCATATTAATTAATTTTATAAATATATTAATTAATGTACATAGTCACTTTCTATTTCTAAATTCTTCTTTCTATAAATATATTAATTAATGTATATATAGTACATTCCATTTATGAATTTATAGTAATTAATTTTTATTAATATAGATTAGTTAAGACAAAATTACATAAATAGTCCATGTGATTAACAAAGGTCACAAACTCTCGTTACTTATTATTATCATTATTATTTTTATGAACATGATCTTTGTGGTTACCAAAACTTACGTAAATGATATTTTTTTTGTTCACACCGTTATTTTGGTCCTTTTAATAAACCCGTATAATACACGGTTATCACACCTAGTTTTTTATAAAATATAATTTATATTCTCATTTGTATTTTAGAATGTACATGTTATCATTTATATATATTTAAATATATATAGCTAGAGTGATATCTTAAATATGATCCCTTGAAAAATGACTAGCGATTCAGAAATTTTAATAATAGCAATTTGCAAGTAAAGCTTTCAACCAACAGCTATCTTTTATCAATATTGATTAAACAAAAAATAAATCCAGTAGATGAATACTAAAATTGTGCATGCTTCGACTTTTGAGCCAAAACCAAACTATTTCTCCCACCTCACAAATCAAATGAATGTTTTTAGAGCATATGCATCAGGTCTTCTATCGGATCCACTTCTTC